GGAAACTAACAAAATTTTGAAGAAGAATAACTAGGGATTCTTAATTTAGATTGGATTCTCTGGAAAACCTCTTATTGGAAGCGGCATCTTCAATGAGAACTGAAGGATAGCCAAGTAAAGAAGAGAAAAGCCAAAAGAATCAAGATGGGGAAATGGAACAGCCAGAATGAACAAGATGGTGAAGACAATGACATAGAAGAAAGATTGATCTGCAGAAAACAAAGATTCTTGGTGTTGGAGTTCAGCGTAATAAACAAAGGAAAGATGGCTACAGATAAGAATGGAGACAGAAAGGAAGGCTGGGTCACACAGGAGCTTGAAGGTCAAATTAAGAAGTGTGGAGATTTTTCTTGGTGCAATGGGAAGTCTTTGAATATTTCTAAATGTAGAAGTAATATGATACAATTTACATCATGCAAAGATCACTCTGGCTGCTGGGCAGAGAATGGGTTGGAGGGAGTCAAGAGTGAAAGCACAAAGACCAATGAAAAGACTGCTACAAAGATTCAGGTAAGAAGGAATGGTGGTTTGGACAAGACTGCTGGCAGCAGGGTGGAACAGAAGCAGAAGGGTTTGATAAATATCTTGCAGGTAGAATGGATCATACCTGACAAAAGGATGGGAGGAGTGTGAGGGAGAGGGAGATATCAACAATTAATCCTAGGATTCTGGTTGGATAGTGAGATTAAGGAGACTGGAAAGAAAACTCATTTGGGAGGGAAAAACTAATAGTTAAGTTTTGAGTAAATTAAGTTTAAGATGCCTTTGAAACATCAAAATAGATATGCTAAGAAGAGTGCTGTGTACATTAATCAAAGGCTTAGAAGAGATCTGAGTTGGATATAGATGTGGGTGTCATTGGAATAAAGATGGTATGTAAAGAGAGGTCCTTTGTGACCTTTCTGAGAACAGTGTCAGTGGAGGTAGGAGATGGGTAGGCAGGTTCCAGATTACAGTGGGTTGAGAGGAAGTTGAGGCAATAGACAACAGACATAGACCATTCTTTCAAGTAATTTGGGGAAAAGGAAAGTAGAGAGATTAGGAAAAGCTTAAGGGGAGACATAGAGGTAGAGTAGAGGTGTTTTCTGATGAGAATAGTTTTCAGCTTGCTTTGGGACTGTGAAAAGAGAGGTAGCAGAGAGGATGAGCTTGAGGAGCTAAGAGATCGGGGTAGAAGTGTGTGTGAACTCTTGAAGATCAATTCCCAGAGGAGGAAGAAAGAGATGGCATCCTGAACACAGGGACCAGAGTCAGCCTATAAAAGGTGTAGGAGCACCTCTTCCTCCAAAATTCACGGGGTTGATTCAGAATGATGAAAACATAGGGAAGTTCCGAAGAAGATGGGTGAGACCATTGAGAGATTTCAGGCTTGAAATGGCTTCTACTATTTGGGTGTAGTGAGAGCTGATACAATCTGCTGATAGTGAGTGGGCGAGATTGGGATCGAGATTTTCCCCAACTGTTGCTGCATAGAATGGGGAAAGGCACCTGACTCCTCCATGACTGTTATCTCAAGGCCTTTCTATATCTCCATGAAGCTTGTGGCTATCAAACCTTCACATGATAGCTTTATTGATTTCAAATTCCAAATCCTCTTAATACTAAATTCCTTGATTGATTTTTCTCCGTGCCATTAACTCATTTTATAGCACCCCAGGGCTACGAAGCTATTAATCTGCTCCAAGTTCAAGTAAATTTTCAATTTAACAAGGCTTTATGGTCTTTCCAATTTTAGTTAATTAGATGACATTAAAGAAAAGCAAAACATCTTTAATTTGTCTCAAAGGACCTAACCGAGTTAAACCTTTCCCCATCCTTGGGATTGTGATGGAAGAGAATACAAACTAGTAAATTTAGTAAGGTAGGTAAAGTTTCTACTCTGTTGATCACAAAAGTGTAATTGGTTCAATCTTACATCAGTGGAAAGTCTACTTTATCATTCCTATTTCCCCACCGATACTGGAGCCTCTCATTTGTAATCACTTTAAAGCTCAGTTACAGTCTTCATAAACTGTCAGCTCAGGGAGAGCTGTTTCAGCAAATAATGCAACGTGTTTCTTCATGAAGGGTTAAAAATAGATGAATAACGGATTCAGTATTTATTAATACTTAGCACATATTGATTCCGTACTTAGGCAGGAACCAAGAAAGCTCATTCGAACTCCACATTATTGCCATATGTTACTTCATTGCTTGAAGTTATTGCTCTTAAGATCTCTTTTTGTTTTTTTTTGAGGAAGATCAGCCCTGAGCTAACATCTGCGCCCATCTTCCTCTACTTTATATGTGGGACGCCTGCCACAGCATGGCTTGCCAAGCAGTGCCATGTCTGCACCCGGGATCCAACCGGTGAACCCCCGGCCGCTGAAGTGGAGCGTGTGAACTTAATCGCTGGGCCACCAGGCCGGCCCCTTCTTGAGTCCTCTTTACATTGGTTTATCTATTGTTAAGAAGGGGTACATTTTAAGTAAAATATTAAAACTAACAATGTGGTCCTTTGAAGCTTTAAAAATTTTTAGGGTAACATCAATGGAACCAAGGGCTACTTGTTTCTGCACCCACAGATCACCCTCTCTCCATGGTTGTAATCTGACCCTTGACCTAAAAGCTAAGTTCTGCTTCAGCCTCTGGGATCTGTTCTAACCTTTATCAGGGATAATTTTGGGAAATACAGACCAGTCTTTGATTGATTCAGCATCCTCAGCTTGGCCGAGAGTTATTCCAATTGGTGCTATACTTCTAATCATTGATGTTCTGCTCCCTTGTTCGTCTGCTGATTGTACGATTTTATGATGGTGAGTAGAATACCTGGGTTTGAATCACCACATCATGCCTATCCTTGCCCTGTGGCCTTTGGGAAGTTGTTTTACGTTTCTGAGCCTGAAGTACATCATCTCTCAAGTGTTGTTACAAGTACTTATGTTACAGAGGTATTTTCTTAAAGCCTAGCTTTGATCTGGCAAGTAGAAGGCAGTTCCATGTTTTTTCCCTTTCTCCCAAGTTCCTGCCTTCATAAACCCCTCTACACAGATTCTCATGGGCCTCAGTTTCTACTTTGATTTAGGTAAATGTCTTTAGAGACTAGAGTTCTGTGATCTCTTGTTGGATCACTTTGATGATGGTCACTGTCTGCCTGCATTCCTATCTATTCGCTGGTTTTAGGGTCCCAGTTACTATGCTTCATCCGTTTGTCCAGACAACTGGACAAACTACTGAATTGCCTCAATGACTATCATATGCTTGGGCGACTTCTTATTGCCTGACTCCATATTTTATGATTACTTTGGTCTATCTGGCTGTTTGAGCTTCCCCCATCGCTGCCCTAAAAAGGTTATGTTTAATTTCTGCCTCATTTATCATTTTAGTTTGGTCATTATATGATATGATAAATGGAACTAAAATCATGTATTTTCTAAATATGAATTAAAAAATTGCTTGCTTAAAGAAAAGTATAAACCTATAATAACAGAAAAACTTGATATGCATTATAAAATAAAACCTGCATCTGGGGAGAAAATGCTGATAATTTTAGCACTTGCAATTTACAACACAGAATCAATTTAAATACTTGTCAAAATTCGTTGCTTCTTTAAGTGAATGATGTAATCCGTAAGATCTTAGAATTTCGACAGGCTGTCATATCCTAAGGCTGTCCAACAGAAGCAAAGGTAAAAAGTCAAATCAATGGAAGAGAGGTGAAGGGTAAAAGGCAACCCATATAAATCAACAATCCATGAGTTATCCTTCTCTTTCCATGTCAGTTCCAAAAGCTAACAGTTTACTTGCTTAGCTAAAGTTCTGCCTTATTTATAAAACATTATTAGCCATTGATAAATAACTGGGTTCATATTTTATTCCTATGGTTTGAATTCGTCATTGGCATCCAAACCAAAAGTCATCATCTCTACTTTCATATATTAACACCTTTCAACCAACTTGTTTATATAATGCATTTTGAAATTAGAATATTATTTAAAGAATAGTTTCTGAATTTTTTTGTCCATTCCAGGTTCAAGCAGTAGTAGATCAGTGTCTGTGTCTGAATCTATATCTACATAAGCATCTTTATGTATTTCTATGACTGTATTCAGTAAAACTAGAAAACTGATGTAATTACTTAATAATTAGACACTGGGGAATACTTTTATTCTTCACTAATGCTATAGGGTCACTTGGACTTCCCCCATTTTCCTTTACCATTCTGATGTTTAGATCTGGAAAGCATTTTAAATGAACTAAATAAATATTTGCCTATTTTCACATTACATTAAGTGGTATTATAATACATTGAATTAGATATTGCTCCTTTTTGTGCCCCTGAAAACCAGGAAATGGTCTATGCCTGTTATTCACAATAAATGGCCTCAAATACCTACACGTGGATGACTGAGAAACAATGAAACAAAGATAGTTAGATTAAATCTAAGTGACTGAAGTATTCTAATTGTTAAGAAAGCAATCAGTGAAAAACAGCCCAAGAAGGCAAACCAAAATCAGTCACTAGATCTAAAAAACATCAAGTCTTGGGTCCAAAGCATAAGCCTCATGAATACCTTTTATCATCTTGTTCTTCCCATGAAGAAAGACAAATGCACATAAGACTCTACCATAATGTTTTTTAAAAGATAACAATTTAGAACCCTTCAGGTGGACAGACTATAGAACCCAAAACAATCTCATGAAATCTTTTTATATTAAAATGTTTTTTCTCTCTTATTATTGCAGCTTGAGTATTGGAAGGCCTTGGGAGAAACTCTATTCTGAGAAGGAGAAAGCATGTTTATAAATTTTTAGCTAAAGTAAGTGAACTTAATGGTTCAAAAAAGTAACTGCATTGAGCCACCAAGGTGAAGGAAAATGTCACTAGACTGTGAACCCCTTGAAAAGCTGGCAGAGTAGTATAGCTAAAAATATCCTAGTGCCAATTACTCGGCACAAGATTGAATTTAATTGGGTCAAGCAAACATCCCTCTTTCCATTTCCCTGTCCAAGTAACTCACAACTTTCAATCTCCAGGGTGCAGTTTTGTTCATCCAGAGGATATCTTCGTAGATCCATCATACATGCAGCTGTGGTTGTTATCCTGTCAGGATGAGAGAGAGAAAAGACAGCACTGTAAGGATGATGACTTTCATTTCCAGGCTTCCCAGCCCTGAATCACCTTTACCAGTTGCCATCAAGATTTTGTGATTAAAAATTTTGAAGGTGGGCAGATTGAGTTTGAGTCTTTCTTTGTTGCTCACTAGCGGTGTGAACTCAAGATGGTTAATTTGTCTCCGTGAGCCTCAGGCCCCTTATCAATCAAAACGCCTACTGCATAAGATGGCCATGAGGATTAAAAGAAACAATATGTGCAAAACTCTTAGCCCAGTGCCCTGTACTTAGTAAGTACTCTACAAATGCTGGTCATTATTGTAGCTGCTATTATCCCACAGCTCTTCCTATATTTACTAGCATCCTAGGAATGTCTCTGCCAATATCTGCAGCAAGTCTGGCCTTATGAGTGGGAGGATATCTATCCCATGCATCAAAGCCTACTTTCCTCTCCTGCTACAACCTAATAACAGAACAACAACAACCCTCTCCCCCTCCCCCCAACCCTGCCCCCATGACTTTTGGTGCCTCACATTACCAACTATTAAAGAGATTTGTCAAGTACATTTTGAGACCCTGGTCCACCTATACTTAGCAGGTAGTGTATAACCAGTAAAGAAACACTGTGGTAGGATGGGTGTTTGCACCATATTTACCAGCTCCAGTTGGGCGTACGTGTTTATGCAAACCCCAGGACTCTGACTCTGGATATCCTACCTGGGTTTCACCACTATCCTTCCATTTTCTCTTGCCTGTGTTGGTTTCCTGGACTGTGGAGTTTGAGAGTGACTTAAATTCATATGGCTAATCCACTCTTAGAAACATTTTATATTACTTTGAAATTGACAAAGTACTTTTCTTAAAAAAAAAATTACGCGTTCCTCATCCACGAAGTAATGTGTAATCATAATTCAAAGAATTCAAAAGATTCAAGCTTAATAATAAATTTCCTTTCTACCTTAATCCCCAGGAGTTACAACTTTGGAAAATTGCCATAGATGCTCTGTGCCGTACAGTTTTGCCTTCTTAGGAGCAAACTTCTTGGATAGCAGCCTACCACTCCCCCTGTTCTGAACCTTACTTGTTTTTGTTAATAATACATCTTGGATTTGGTTCCAAATCAGTAAATAATAAGCTGTCTTTAGAAAGATTTACTACAATGTGTTTAGTTGTATGGAAATACCATCATTTATTTTCCCAATCATCCTTTGGTGGACATATACATTGTCTTCTCTCTTTTATTTTTACAAATGAAGATACTTCTAATATACTGGTACACTCTACTATGTCTGACTACATCTGTTGGCTATTTGTCACGGAATTGTTAGAAAAAAGTATTTGCATTTTAAATTTTGCCCTTCACAGGGGTTGTGCCAATTTGCACTCCCATCAACAGTGTATACAAATTTGACAAAGGACTTTTCATACCGATGTTTTTTGAGGCTGTCAAAGTGAGTTATTGTTTTGGTCATTTGTGTTAACTTAACAGGCACTTCTTAAAAATATTATTAGGAAAAGCTCTAGCCCTTCCCAATTTCTCTTTGGCTTTCCTCATGAAAGATGGAAGTTCACACAGGTGAACATTTGGATATTCCCTTTGAAGTCTTTCTTGGACAAGATCTTGGTCAGTTTAATCAGATTTATTGGAGCATCAGGCAAGACCAAAAGGAATTTTAAAGTTCAATTTAAAAAAAATGTTTCTCAAAGTGTTTTACAAAGAATTTGAAGACTAGTTGAAGACTAGTTGTATTCCAGAATTTAGCACATAAAAGGATTTTACTAGATTCCTTCTTGCTTCCTGCTCCCATGATCACATGAATTGATTAATTTTTCCACTTAACAATATATCATAAATAACTTTTGTTGCCTGAAAATACAATTCCACAACATTATTTTTATGGCCTGCATAGTGTTTCAAACACCCTCAATAAGACAATACAATAAATATTAAAAAATGCTTTAAAAAATCATCTATCTACTTTACTATATTCCTTGTTTAAACAGCTGCTTATGAATTAAAAAATCACGAATAAATGAACATTCTCTAGAAATTACTGAAGTGTGGCCAGCCTTATGGTCCTGTGACTTAGCCAATGAGTCTCAGTCAGGACAATGTTTCCCCACAAGGGACATTTGACAATATCTGGAGACAGTTTTGATCATCAGGCTGGGGGTGGAGCTTTGATACTGGCATCTAGTGGGTGGAGCTCAGGGATACTGCTAAACATCCTACAATGACCAGGACAGCATGCAATAGTAAAGAATTTTCTGTTCCAAAATGTCAATAACACCAAGGTTGAAAAACCCAGCTACAAAGGTGGTTTTCAAATATTTTTCCTATGAGAAAAACTTTAATAAAATGAAATCTTACGCAGAATCTCAATATATCAAATACAAATGAAGTAAGTGAAAGCCATATTTTGATAATATAAAATTACCTAATAAGTTCAAATGTTAACATCTATTTTAATGAACCCGTGAATTTGAAAGCAGGGATTATGATGATAATTGTCTTAAATCGCCCTCAGCATGAATTATTTTTGCGTTGTATTTTATTTGTATAGGATTGAGAAAATCCTAATAAATAATGAAACATTTGCTTCTAAAATCATACATGACTGGCCACTGGCTACCTTGAAGCAGGGAGGGAGGTCCTTTGTGCCAGGAAACCACCTCTATAATCAGCGACATCTTTGCAAATGGTTCAGATACTTTCACAGGTGGTTGGTCTCTAGTAGATGCTTAGTGATGGGTTAAAGGAAAGCTTTACTTGGTGCTCCATGCTCTGCATAAGTTAACCTGGCATAACATGTTAATATCATAGTGGTCTTGAATGAATTAAAATGTGGCACAGGACACATTATAGTGCACACGTTTCTTAATATAGTACAAAATAATTATAATATTTCAAAGTCCAATTAGAATCAAATATTTTTGGAACTATTAAAGAGCTTTAAGGATACTTGAGAACATCATTTGAGCCCCATTGGTCAGCGTATCTGACTTAACGACCTCATTTTCAGACACATGTCATCTGGCTAGTTAACCACATCATATCAAAATCAGGACAAGCATCAAAATCTTATGCCAAACAAATGATTCACATATTGTGAGGCTCTGGAGTTTTAAAACACAATTTGGAAAGCCAACAAAGCATTGTCTGTAAAGTGAATAACTAATATCTCATGCATATGGGTTCTACAGATGTGAGTGATAAAAAACAAACAACTTTTGAACGTATACCTAAATTTACTATTGCTATCCATTATGATCAATCCATTCTGAAATCAATAGATGTAAGAAATGTAATTGGTATCACCTTGTGAAACTATACATCACACGAAAGGGTTGTGTACGACCTGATGTTTTTTCAACTATGATCACCTGGACCATTTTCCTTCTCCTGCCCCACATCCTGCTATGATATCAAAAGAGATGAGCAATTACAACTCAGAAAGGGAAGGAATCGAGGCAGCTCCAAGAACATGAGTTCTGAGAAGAGCCTGATTTCTTTGGAGAGCATTGACATTAGTGATATAACTTCCTTCTTGGGATCTATCTGGTCCAAGTTTCAAATTCCCAAGAGGATTTTATTGGCTCAACTTGGATTAGGTGCCACTTCTCCCAAAATTATTTAATAAGGACGGGAAGGAAACCTACACAATCAAATATGGTCACCAGGGATCCACAATAGTCTCTCATCTGAGAAGGAAGAGATCATTGAGACTGAGACAGTGACCTCTCTACAAACAGGTACTCATAAATTCATTTTGTGGTGTTTAGAAATATATGCAATAGAGTGTCGGGCTCTGCTAATTTAAGGGTTTGAAATTTCTAGATTTTGTAATACTTATGTCTAAGTGAGCTGAGCATCCTGAGCTCTTTGTGAGAAAAAATAGCTTAGCAAGAATTCCCAGGATCATCAACAAAAAGAGAAACGTCTCTGAGCAGAGCTCTGTTTAGCCCTTCTGTCTCCTGGGTGTGGAGTAACAATGATCATCTCTAAGAGGCACTGCTCCCTGTGTTTTCCGTTTGTTCACCTTGCTGAACGTAATTGTTCAGCAGTGGTTCAGCACCTCTACAATTAATTAACACGTCCACATGGATATGTACTCACACCGTGGCTGAAGCAGCCTCATATTCTCAGTCTTCTATGGAATGAAAGGTGTCAAAGATCACAAAACTGAATGGGTTGAGGTCTTCAAGATTGAAGAGTTTTTTGAATTTTCTTTTTAACTTTTCACACTCAAGTCATTCTTTCTGAGTGTGTGAAAATATTATTATTGGCTGGTAGCAAATTAAAATACAGTAGAATAGAGCCAGCTAAAGACAAAAGCATTAACTGACTTTTTCTGAACACAGACTTCCCAGAGGTACAGATTCATGACAGCTAACATTCATCTGTCTTCTTCCAAAGACATTTAGAATGGCTTACATTATAATCCAATTTATTGACATTTTGAAGGTTAGGTCAGAACACTATAATAGGTTGTTAGTCAGAAACTATGGCCCCATGATACTTTGGAATGAACGGAAATCATGTTCCTGTAGTATTCATTTATTAAGGTGGATGCTGTATGGCCATTGACCTTAAGAGTCACTGTAATTAAAAATCATGTATTTTTGATGTCTAAGGGCAGCACAACTCTCTCATTGCTGACAAAACACAATCCAGGAAGTCTTGGCCCACAGTAGCTTAAAATGTAGCCACACACACACACATACACATATACACGTACACAGATATACATATGGAGAGGGCACTTTTGTAAATAATAACGTGAACTTAAATAAATAAACAAATTACCTGCATATGGTTGAGATTTTACTATAATTTTCAATTTTTTTTTTGAGGAAGATTAACCCTGAGCTAACTACTGCCAATCCACCTCTTTTTGCTGAGGAAGCCTGGCCCTGAGCTAACATCCGTGCCCATCTTCCTCTACTTTATATGTGGGATGCCTACCACAGCATGGCTTTTGCCAAACA